GAAAAATGTGCTTAAAAGTGTAACCAGCCCTGGCCAGTGTGGCAAGAGGCAGCCCGTGCACCAAAGGGTCACTGGTGTGATCCCCGGGCAAGGGCACCCACCTGGGGTGCGGGTTTGATCCCCGGCTCACATTGATGTCTCTGTCTCTCTCTCTCTCTCTCTCTCTCTCTCTCTCTCTCTCTCTCTCTCTTCTCCCACCCTCCCTTCCTCCCTTCTACTCTCTCTAAAAATCATTAGGAGAAATACCATCGGGTGAGGATTAACAACAAAAAGTGTAACTACATTCATAGAATCTTTTGGATATTATTTTTTCTCAAAATTTTGATAATAAAAAGGAAAATTATTTTGTGAGTACAAGGAAATGTTTCCCTTACTTGAAAAAACAGGGAACTTCTTACTACTGGCGATGATGCTTTTCAGAACTGTTACAAGAGGTTCCTATAGAGAACACAGATCAAAGTTTAACGAAGATAAATGAAGGGACTGTGTTCAGCTTAAACACAAAGAAACACGGCATGACTAGCAGGCAAGGGAGACGGTTCAATAGCAGGCGAGAAAGTGCGGGGGGATCAGACAGCTCTGCGTGTCCACAAGGGGAACCCATGCCAAGGTGGGGTGTGGCTGCCAAGAACCTAAGGCAGCATTGAGCAGCATTAGTTAAAATATTATTCAGGAGGTAATAACCCAAATCTGCACTAGTCGGAACAGTGTGAAGCAATGCCTTCAATCCAGGGCCTCGGGCTCCTGCTGACGGCCGAGGGAGTAACCCGCCAGACCCGCCCTCCTGTGGGGAAGCATGCGCCTGGTTAAACACAGACAGTCCCTGTGTGAGGACACGGAGACCCACCAAGGCAGGAGCATCCGAGAGGCCAGCTCTGCAGGGAGGAGGCACGGGGTGAGCCCACCACGCACCTCTACCTGCTCCCGATCGGAGAGCAGCCCCTGGAATGGAAACCGCAGTCGTATCAGCTGAGGAAACACAGAGCCAGTCCCTTGGCTGCCACGGGACCAGGAAAGTGAGGGGAAAACCCCAGACGGAACACAGACGCTGCTCAGCACCCCGGTGAGGCCGGCACCAGCCCTGTGTGCGGGGCCTCCACACCGTGGCAAGGACGAAAAGAGAAGGCAGAGTTTGGAGTTTTATTTCTGCCAAGTTAACTGCCTGCTAAAAGTCAAACGTAATATTCTTCACAGGAATGTAACAGAAGCCATAATCTCTACATGTTATTCACCGTCTATAATCCACAACTACCAGGACAGGGATGCTCAGATACGGTCTGCGCCTCCCTGGGGCCCCAGGACCCCTCCAGGTGTCTCCAAGGTCAAGACTTTCACAGTGACATCAAAGTGGTACCTGCCCTTTTCTCTCCTCCTATCACACTGTACAGTGGAGTCTCCTGGCGACTACATGACTTAGGAGGACATCATCACTCGGACAACTACTAGAATGTACTTTAGTGTTTCCTAAAAACCTTTAAGGTAATAGGTCTTCACGTATAAATATGAATGTTTAGAGAGCTTAACCCCTTCCCCGGCAGAAACGTGTATACTCGTTTTCACAAAACGTTCTTTTTCAGTCGTCGACGAGTATACTAAGAAAATATGGTAAAAAAATATGGTTTATAGGAAGGCGAGTTACAAACTGTTTTCATAACCAGCATCAAAAATACTATATAGAACCAAAATAAAAAAATTAGTCTGAAAAAGAAACGTTTTTAACAAAAAAATTGTTGGGGAAGGGGTTAACTCAGTTCGTTCTCAGGACAGCAACGGTGCTCTTGCAATTATAACTGCTACAAGGTCTTTAACCCCATTACCATCCAATAAACTGACGTCTGAAATCCCAAAGGTTCCTGTACACACAAGCAAACACAGTATTCGTTGTCCCGGATGGCAATAACACTTAATTTTTGAAAACTTTATATATTTTAAATGTTAAGCCTATTATTTTTTAAACTTTTTAATGCTTTTATTGATTTCAGAGAGGAAGGGAGAGGGAGAGAAATAAAAACATCAATGACAAAAAAGAATCATTGACTGGCTGCCTGCCTCCTGCGTGCCCCTCACGGGGATGGAGCCCACAACCGGGGCGTGTGCCCTGGTTCAACCCGGAGCCATGCCAGCCGGGCTGCATGTTTTATTTTACACACAGACATGGTGACTTAACAGCCAAAAATTATTTATTTTAACTTTTCAGACCAGAAAGCAAAGAGTCAATTCTGAGAAAACAATTGAAAGTTTTTGTTGCCAAGGACAAAATTTGAGCATTGAGGTGATCATTAGAATTCTAAAAGACTTGGATCCATGAATATGAGCTTTAAAGTGTCTTTTAATAAGACAAGTGGTGACATCAGTAAACGTGATTTCTTTGATATTGATAAAATATGGCTTGCACGCTTGGGAGATGTGCCAACTCAGCAAACCATTATTTTCTAAACAGACAATGCGGAATGTTGCAAGATGGCAAGAGATCCACTCCAAGTGCAATGTAGACCAATGGACCTTAATGTAAGAGAATGAAATGTTCACTGATACGGTTTCAGAATCCACACCTGAAATAACCTTTCCGAAATGACACCTTGTCAAGTTTTGATGTGACATTAAAGAACAATATCCACAATTTTCTGAAAAGGCCATTAAAATACTCCTTTCACCAATGGTGTTTTTCATAGAACTAAAACACACAATCCAAAAATTTTCATAAAACCACAAAAGACCCCGAATGGCCACAGAAAACCTGACACAGCAAAACGAAGTGGGGGGTCATGCTACCTGATCTCAAACTAGACTACAGGCCGTAGCAATCAAAACGACATGGTATTGGCATAAAAACAGACACACAGAACAATGGAACAGAATACAGAGCCCAGGAAGAAACCCACACCTATGTGGTCAATTAACATATAACAAAGGCGGGAAGAGCACACTGGGGTGTGAAGACAGTCTATTTATAAATGGTACTGGGAACACTGAACAAACACATGCCAGAAAATGAAACCAGACCCCCTTCCTACAAGAATAGACTCAAAATGGCTAAAGGCTTAAATATAAAACTTGAAACCATAAAAATCCTATAAGAAAACAGGCAATCATATCTCTGACATGTCTCTGAGCATTTTTTCTGATCTATCTCCTCTGGCAAGGGAAACAAACAAACAAAATAAGCATCAAACTAAAAAGTGTCTTCACAGCAAAGGAAACCAAACACAAAGACAACCCACTGAATGGGGAAGGCAGTCGCCAATGACATTCAACATGAAATAAAACGGAAGATGGATAGGGAAGGCCCAGCATGGGAAACACTCACAGTGCATGCGTCTAACAGAATCTGTACACAGCTTACATACATAACTCCTCCAAAGAGATGATAACACAAAGCATCCAATTTCAAAATGGGCAAAAGACTGAACAGGCGCTTCAAAACAAATTTCCAAGAAAATACTTATAATTTTGACTCTTGTGAAATTTTGAATGAACATCTGACGAACAGGGCACTGAGATGAGAGACATTTCTAATGGCTGTGACAATACAGGTTTCCCACTCTCTCAGAGTGGAGTGTTCCAAGGAAACCTTCCGTTAAGCCAAAGGGCATAAAACTAAGCAATTGTCATTCATTTATTTTCATTTTTTTAATGTATTTTATTGAATTTGTTACAGAGAGGAAGGGAGAAGGATAGAGTCAGAAACATCGATGAGAGAGAAACATCCGTGTTTGTCTTAGCCCAGTGGTTCTCAACCTTCCTCATGCCACGGCCCTTTAACACAGTTCCTCATGTTGTGGTGACCCCCAACCATAAAATTGTTTTTGTCGACACTTCATCACTGTAATGTTGCTACTGTTATGAATCATCATGTAAATATCTGATGTGCAGGATGTATTTTCATTGTTATAAATGGAACATAATTAAAGCATAGTGATTAATCACAAAAACAATATGTAATTATATATGTGTTTTCCGATGGTCATAGGCGACCCCTGTGAAAGGGTCGTTTGACCCTCAAAGGGGTCGCGACCCCCAGGTTGAGAACCGCTGGTTTATATGGATAACTCTGTGCGAGTTCCCAGACCCCACACGGCCTGACACACGGAACCGAAAGTAACACCAGGTCACAGTGAACGCAGGGCCACTCCCGCCCTCAGGACGCCACTGCCTGTCACTGCAGAACAAACACTGAATACGATTTTCGCTTTTCACTTTTTTTCACAGAAGTCATACATCCTCTTCAGATTCCTTTCAGTTAAGTGGAACAGAGTAATAATGTAGGACTTTCGTGAAAGCAAAGTGGCTTGACCCACGCTTTCAAAAAGCGAAGATGCGTGTATCTTGTTTTGAAATACAGTAAGACCACTCATTTCCTCCGCACGATAAATATTTAAAGTGGCTGAGCACCCTACTCACTGAAGACTTGCGTCCTCTAACAAATGTGACGATCATTACGTGTTTCACTGATTCCACCGTGAAAGCTAAGCATTCCCTTTGTAAGGTTTGGACAGGTTTAACTGAGGAACTTCCTGGGATCGCTTATCTAGGTGGATCCGAATTTTCTAAATCTCATGCAACTAGATAAAATACAGAAATGCAGTCGGTGATCAGACGATGTAAGACGACAACTGTCGTTCACAGCCCCCAATTTCAAGATTCTGTGTTCATTACTATAGACTCATTATTCTTGATTGATTTTATAATATATAGGCTTTATAGCAAATAAATGTCAATGTGAACTTACAAAGTCCATTTAACAATGAAATGCTGCTTTTACCAGTTTTATATTTCGTGTTATAAAATGAATTTGAGAAAATCTGAAAAACAATGGTGGATTTAAGAACAGCCAAGCACTGACCGAGCCCCGGAAGTCACAGACCTTGTGAAGAGCACGCTCACATGGTGACGGCTGACTGCTCACGCACGCGCATCAGGACATGAATCACCGAGGTGAGTGTTCAACCAATGCACACGTCTTATCCCCATGTAACTGCATATGTTACTGCAATACTTACCGGTGCTACTATCTTTCCCGTCTGTCCAACCTGCATGTCGTTGGGAACAAAGCCGGCATCCACAGCAGCACGAGAAGCGCCAACTACGGGGAAATGGTCATTGTTTAAGCCGATGGTTCAGCCAGCTGGGCTGTCGCTGATAACTACAGAACAAAACAAAACTCCCACACTGACCTAGTACAGTTAGAAACTTACTTTATTAAGGTCTTACGTTATCACCTCCTTCCTTTATCAAGCCCTTTTATTTCTCAATGATTTTTAGCTTCTGGGTCATTGTCATTTCTCAAATACTAGTCTTCATTCGTGGAGATTTTAACACCCTGGGTTCTTAGTTCCTTAAACGACTCTCCTCCAGTTACTGTCGTCCATGCTACCTCACCCACACGCACGGCCATACACCAACTTCTCTATTACCAATATCCCTTGACAACTTCCATTTCCAAAGTCTCTCTGTGACCTCCCTCTTCCTAACTGACTTCCATTAATACCTAACTCCAACTGGGACCCACAATTCTATTCCCTGTCTCTCTCTCCCCTCATGTGTCTACCTTTCCTATAAATGATCAAATACAACTTTAAAATATTAAATGTTCATTTCAATTTGTATGAGATTTATATTAGACCACCAATAAAGAAAAAAACAAGGGCACTGAGTTTACATGCCAAACACCTGTTTTCCTGAGTGCTTACCTGTGTACTGACTCACAAGCATCTTACCTTAAGGGACCGTGGCTGGGAACAGGCCACATCAGCAACCCAAGGCCTGCAGGACATTCAATACAGACAGATCTCAATTTATTCAACCACAAGCTGTGTGTGTGATAATCAAATCAGACTCTATCCTGCCCCAGATGCACATTCCAGGTTTATGTGACTGAAACCAATCTCTACAATCCTCAGGACTCTCCAACACAACCTTGCGGAGTACTGTATGTGGTCTGTACCAGCACTTTTATAGTGAAGAAATAATGTTGGGAGCATCCCCATCATAAACTCAACTTAGGAACAAAGGCACAGGGCAGCAAACACCAGTAGTCAGAAAGAGGCAGAAGGCTCAATTATCCACTAGATTAGTAATCTAATTGCTTCGAGCAGGATGTGGGTGTGAGAGTGTGCATTGATAGTGAGTCTGTGTGTGGTGTAATTGCACGTGTGGTGTGCATGTGGGTGAGAGTGCGTCACTGCCGTCTCCACGGTATTTAGCAAAACTTCACTGAATGACTGAAGTGATTTGAATGAAGTCATTCCACTAGACTTCCCACACCTCACCAGCAAGAAGCCCTGCCTTCCCTCTTTCCCCAGCACTGTGCCAGGGGCCTGGCATAGAGCAGCACCCAATAACAATCACTTCTTGAATAAATAAGGGATGAAATGAGTCAGATATATCTTTTCAAAATGTTAAATGATTTCCCCTCAATGCCTCTTGCCAGTGCAAGGCTGTCTGGAAGCTTGCTTGTTTTGTTTGATGTTTGCTTTGGAAAGATTTTAAAGCCATGGCCGACTGTATAAAATGGGTGTGTGTTCTCCTAGAAGCAGGAACATGACATACAAACAGGAGCACGCGTGTGCAACATCAACAGCTTTGACATTAGGCGTGAGGAAACTTCCAAAGAGTTATTCACAGAGAAGGACCCTGTAGAGCACAGCAAGTTGAAGCAAAGGAGTGTGAAGGGGAGAGTCACCCCATGGCCCAGCTTCCCCCCAATTCTATGGCTCACAAGCCAACGTACCCCTCAGAATAACTAGGCAGTCAGTCAACAAAACAAAGACACTAAGTTGTAAAGTTACGCTGATAAGCTCTGTACTACGCTCCCCCTGGGGCCAGGGACACAGGTTTGCAACAGAAGCCCAACTTGGGTATTAAACCCATGATTTCATTTTCCTACTCGGTGAAACGGAAACAATACTCACAAGTTTCCTACTTCTTACATTTGGGGGAAAAAATCTGTGCTCCTCTAAAGTAAACATTGATAAAATCGAAGTATTTTAGCTTGGCCTCGTCTTTTATAGTCAACACATTACAAATCTCACTTACCGCCGGACACCACCACTTTGGCGCCAGTTAGCTCTGGTCGGTCACTTTTGGTTAACTTCTGGTCGAGCCATTCTGATATCCCCACCGGGGAACCGCTGGACGCTGCATACATTGATATATATAACAAAACAATGACTATGAATTCCAGTTGTAAAACGACAATAACTTTTAAGAGAAACACACAAAGAAGTAATTCCATGAAATTTAAGTCTGTTGGTTGCTGTACATGTTTTGGGCTCCCACTTACATTCTCTCTGAGTTTTTGAAAGATGCAGGGACCAGATTCTAGCCTTTCCCTCATGGGCTGCGTGCCTTCTGAGACGTACCTATAAACTGGCAGGACCCTGTCTACGCGGGTCCGATCAGATGCTGTGCCTGTTAGGGGGTAGCACTGGCTGCCCATTTACTATTCCATCCTTCCACTCAGCAGGACCTCCAGGTATGACAGCAGGAACAGTGAGAGGAGAGCAAACACCTTAACACCCACGGAGCACATGCATCTTAATGGGCCCTCTCTCCCACCCCTTTCATCTACCAAAGCAGCTATCCTTGTACCAAACATGACAGAAAAAGACGTTATAAATATTTCTCACTCTTGGGTAAGATTGGGAATATCACGGCAAGTTCTCTGCATTAGTTTAACCAGAGACCATCTCTCATGCTCATCTACGAACAGACAAACAAATACAGACCACAAGAGAACGCTCACCCTTCTCAGAACTGGCACCGCCTCCACTTGTTGCTGCCGCTTCAAAAGCTGTTCCTCGGACAGAAAACACCTTCACCTTTTCGTCACACTTCACTGTACATAACGCGTTTCCTGAAATACAGGTTTTGTTTTAAAAAAAAACACAGCAACCAGGAAAGATAACAAAGAATACTCTTTTGGTTCGGAATTTACTTCACACACACACAGGGCAGAAGTGACTGTGGGCCCTTGTCTCCTTCCTCTGCTAGGTGTGGGGAAAGGCCTAACCCTGAGGGGACGTACCAGCACACATGGTTTAACCTCGGGGGTATTTAAAAATAGGACCAGCTGCTGACCTGCCCAGAAGCAACTAACTGAAACCGGAAACCACACGAATACGGCGCACTCTTCCTAAAAGGAATAAAAACTTCCTCCCCCAACACACAGTCAGTAGCTCAATGGCATGGGCTGCACCAACTGAAGAATAAAGAGCTCCGCCTGCTGAGGGAGGAAAAGACGTGAGAGACGACAGGGCAGAAAGGAAGAGACGTGGGGCCTGGCCATCGTCCCGTGCGCCGAAGGGTCGCTGGTTCAGCTCCCAGTCGGGGCACGTGCCTGGGGTTGTGGGCTCCATCCCTAGCGTGGGGGTGCAGGAGGCAGCCGAGCAATGCTGCCCTCTCGCATTGATGTTTTTCTCTCTCTTCCTCTCCATTCCTCTCTCTCTAAAAATCAGTGAAACTATTTTTGAAAATAAGAGTAAGAAGCGTGATAGAGATTTAAAAAGGTTTTGGGACTTTTCTTATTAAATAGCAGTCACACTACGAATGACCTAAACTATGACCAGATATTTCTCTCCAAATACTACTAAAGATCAAAGTTCTGATGTGGGAGTGACCATTTATCTTGAAACACACAACTTCAGTCAGAAAGAATTAACAACACAGTGTGCTTAGCCAAAGGTCAATCAACCAGAGAGACACGGAAATGAATTTCTTAGCACAAATGGAAGGGAAGCAGCAAAGACTGAAAATGCTATTTTAAAAAAAACAGAAGAAAAAAGAGAGTGTTGCTTTTCCAGGTGTCAATCACAAAATGTATTGAATAAGGAATCCAACTCTCACTGACACTGGAAAAACCTCACTGAAACCTGAGTGACCAGGAAGGAAAGAACCGTGCTCTTCATTTATCAGAGAAATTTGTCCTGTCCTGGTCCAGCTACAATGCAAAGGTTTTTCTCAGGAACTTTGAAGATGGTCCATTCAAAGCACATGTATGATGTTTTAAAAAACCCTGACTTCAAGATTAATTTCTGCTTGTAAAATTGACAAACATTTAACATTTTAAATTAATTACTTTCCTTAGGTACTCACCTGCATAAATAGTTCTCACAAATGTGTCAGGTGACTTGATTGCAATGATGTCAGAAATTGGGGCAACATCAAGTTTGGCTGCGATTCTGGGCAAAAGGTTCTAAAAGCAAAGTAAGCAGTAAGTCATACACATACAAGCCGATGAATGGCTCCAAACTACCAGCGATAACATTCTCTAAATGATATTCTATAGAAATTTTAATTCAAGTATTTTATATTTCACATACGTCTTTAGACACTACAGCTTTAAGCACAACTTTTTGTATAGTCTTTGTATTAAATAAGAGTCTTTCATGACTCTAACTACATTAAGAATTTGAGTTTTACATGTTAATGAACCACCTTAGCTCAGTAAGCTGAATTATGAGATGCTATCTGCTTTAATGAACATCACTTACAAAGTGTGACAGTTATGTATTACTGAATTTAGATGAGAAAAAACAGGAAGATACTTAGAATAGTAACATTCTCGAACTAAGAATATATTTGTATATATTTACTTACTGTATATATACATATACATAAAAAAAGACTTCAAAGGGGATAAAAGAAACGAAACCTAGGAGAACCCCATGACCCCAGAGAGAATCTGGAGGCCCCCCCCCTTTATTAAGAACCTCTCCCTGCGGACCACTACCCGGTGGCGCACACTCCCTCCTGGCCCAGCACAGAGCACTCACCAGGCCACAGCTGTTTCACACTAAGGAGTCTCCGCCCACACACAGCTCTTCCCAAATCCCCAGTGAGGGAGAACCTGGCCTTTTCAATATCCATCCGTTACCCAAACAAACCAACCCTTCAAATGGGTGACAAATACAAATGGCATTCACACTCACACAGAGACAGTTCAACGTGGTTTTTAAATATAAATCCTTAAGTAGCCTCCATGACAAAACCTGAAAATCTGGAAGGGGCATTCTAATAGATTATGACAAAATCTTAAAAGAGCAGAGTTGTCTCTGACAAAATTCGAAAACATGGAGATCATGTTTTAACAGAAATTGTAACAAAACTTTGCAATAAATTTTAGCAAAACGACCACATTAATCCAGAAAGCCAAGATCAGCTCTCGAAACAAAGCCTGCGGTGGTTTCAGCACAGTGACCTCCAGCCCTTCCGGGTAGTGACACCAAAGCCCACCCTCCACCTGCTCACCTTCCCGAAGGCAGACGCTCCGGCACAGATGTGCGTGTAACTGAACTGCTTCTGAGTTGCCAAAACCAATGGTGTCAGTTCCTCTGAGAAGCAAACACACCTGATAAGTAGATTTCGTAAAATTCCCACACCATATGGTCATCAATGAGACATGACAGTCTTGTCCATTGGAAAACCTACCTGGGAGAAGGCCCTTGTACGCATCACTCTGAGCCACCAGAACCTTTGCTACACCTGCTACTTTGCAGAGATCTTGGGCCACCTGTGATTAAAAGTGTTTAATTATCCATCTAACAGGAAGATGCAAACAGAGCCACCACTACAAGTCTCAAGAGAGCATAAATCCTTAAAGGGCAGTTGTAAGAATCCTTATCAGAGAAAGGGCTTACTCAGAAATAAAAAATATATACCCTTTAACAAAGAAAACCTATGCCAATTGATCTTACAAACTGATCTTAAACAAAAATTCCTGCCTTGAAAATGAAAGTACTAATTGATAAACCAAAATCCACAAAGCTCTCATCAAATTTAGTTGTGCCCTGTTCTCTTTACCTTTCATTTCGTGCCAGTTCATCATTTCAGAAAGCGTGGAAGGGGCAATGGCTAGGTTCTCTCTGTCTCTCCCAGTAACACAGCCAATACCCTGCAGCCCCAGGGCTCCCAGGGGTGAGAACAGGACGCAGCCACGGTGGCTCCCAGCCACAGCCCTTTACTGGCAATGACTTCTGCTGATGTTAGAAGCAGTGAGTCTGGGCAAGACCAAAATCTCTTATCAGTCCGTTCACTGGCACCACTGAGTTCCTGCCCACTTACATATATTTGTCTGTAATGAAACACAGATTCCAATCCCTCATTTTGCCTGTTTGGATCAGGAGGGGGCTCTGCCTCTGGGCCGCTCGGGTTTCCTGTACAGAGAGGCAGCTAGAAGCCCCCATCTCAGTCTCTGAGATCACAGCATGGCTGGCTTCCGCGTCAGCGGAAACACGGCAATCCTGTTACCGTCTTCTGTCTTCTGGTTGACGTCCACGCTGACTCACTGATGAGCAGGCATAAAAGGCGGTGTCCCCTGCCCCCTCAAAGGATGGCAAGGCTGGGAGAGGATGCCCTGCACAAGAACCTCCGCTGAAGCAAGTGTCACTGGCAGGGCAGGCCACCCTGTTCTAGCAAACTACCTCCTTATTCCCAGCAAAAGCTTCGGGTACTGCACAGAGAAACACCTGCTGCGGATGATGAACGGCTACAGAGACAGTACAGAGCTGAAATCTGCCTCGGCCACTAACGGTCTCCTTATACAGGCACCGACTGTTTTCCTTTAAGAACAGAACGTGACAGGATAATAAAATTGTAACTGAACAGAAGATGATTTCTGCTTTGATTTTTCTCAGAATAACGTAAATAGCATTTCAAATATTTTAACATAATATTAGAATAATTATTTAAAATCACAGCAAATAAACAATCAGACCCAGAACTTGCATATCTGAAATCCAGTCCTGTGCCATCCATCGGCACCGGGGGCTAGTGTCACCCACGTCAGGCTCGGTAGCTGTTAGCAGCTTTAGGAAGAGAAGTCCATAATTTAACCCCAAGCCAGGCAGAATTCGTTCTTTTAAGATATCAGTGTCATGTAAGAAGCTAGAAGCCACACTGGCATTCCGAGCCTTATTCTACCACATGGCCTGCAGCAATGAACGGATTTAATACACAGTAAACTTCTGCAAACAGAGAAGGGAACACGCCTTCTCCAGAGGCCGCCCCCCAAGTCCCCGGGTGTGGGAGGGGCCTGGGGGCTCCGGCTCATCAGCGTCACCGAAGCACGATGCCAACTGCAGGCGGCCCCGGGGCCCAGGCCCCGCACACCAGGGGGCGAGTTTAGAGCGTCGCTGTCTTAGGCCAACAACAAAAACGAATGCCATTCGCTGAGGCAGACCACGCCAACTCTCACCTGGAAAGCACAGGACTACTTCCATTGGAGTTCTTACCCCAATGAAAGGAGCACGCGTGGTAGTGGGTCCAGATTTGCCACTTCCAGGAATTAAAAGCAATTAGCAAGTATATTCGTCAATACAAAAAGGAATCGGCTATTAACCTCTAAGGGGACTCCAATATTATCATTCTACTTGGTGCCGGAGGGCACACGATGGTGCCAGGGGAACTGAATCAAGGTTCTACCTCATTCAGAAGATGAAATGCTTCGTGGGCACCTCGGTTCTCCTCACACACAGTGAGGGTGTGACACTGCCACGTAATGAGGATGGGGCCGGTGTGGGCCAGTCCTCACCGTCACTCTCTGCTGCCACCTTTCCCTGTCTCCTGACGGAGATTACATTCGCTATGACTGACCTTAGAGTCTCTCACCTTGTCACATTTGGTTCCAGCTATTAAGCAGGACACTTCCCCTCCCAGGCGTGAGGCTGCCGTGATGGTGTGTAAGGTGATGGGTGCTATGGCGTCGTTTGCGTGCTCAGCTATTACCAGGGTGCTCTGAAATCGAAGCAGTGTGGCCTAAAAGAGGGAGACAATGGGAAAGAATCTTATAAAACACATTTCTTTTTTACTGATTGCTAAGCATGTGTGCTTTAAAGAAAACTGGACACAGTATTCAGTTCTTAAATCCTATATAATAAAAGGCTAATATGCAAATTGACCAAACAGCGGAACGACCGGTCGCTATGACGTGCACTGACCACCAGGGGCAGACGCTCAATGCAGGAGCTGCCCCCTGGTGGTCAGTGCGCTCCCACCAGGTGAGTGCCGCTCAGCCAGAAGCCGGGCTCACGGCTGGTGAGCACAGTGGTGGTGGGATCCTCTCCCGACTCTGTGGCAGCGCTAAGGGTGTCCCCCGAGGGCTCCCGGAAGGCGAGAGGGCGCAGGCCAGGCTGAGGAACCCTCCCCCCCTCCCAGTGCACAAATCTTGTGCACCAGGCTTCTAGTGTATTTATAAAACACTTGCTCGGTAGCAAAAACTAGACTATTGTGTCTACCACTCTATTACTAATATTCATACCTAATAAAACAAACATGCAAAAATTAGTGTTCTACTGTTAGAAAATTTTGAGAATTATTTCAAAATAATGTCCCCATTAATCTATGTTCAATGAGAAATTCAATGTACATATAAACTTAAAACCCTTAAGCAGACATGTTAGTATCAAAGTAGGGAACAAACTACTACCAATTACACTCACTGGTCAAAAAGAAAAAAATGGACATTTAAGGCCTTTTCCAGCTCAAAAGTTGTCACCCTAAAATCCTACTTTAACTACACTAGTGGCATAGAATATGACTAAGGATTCAAAGAGTACAACAATGAAAGATTCAAAAACTACAGATCCATCACTGAAAAGGCTCTTTTTAATTTTTTTTATTGATTAAGTTATTACATATGTGTGTCCTTATCCCCACATTACCCCCCCCCATGCCCTCGCCCCCCTGGTGTCTGTGTCCGCTGGTTAGGCCTATGTGCTTGCATATAAGTCCTTTGGTTGATCTCTCCCCCTTTGAAAAGGTTCTTAAGCAAAAGTCACTTGGTTATTTTATCTTATGCACCATTCAAGGGTCCCCTTTTTTATGGAGAAAAGGAGCCAAGATCTTAAATATTTAAAGATAATAATTGAAATACTTAATAAGGTAACTAACTACCCAGAAAAGAATCCCTATCTCTTCAAAGCACTGCTACTTAGCCCTGGCCAGTGTGCTCGGTGGTTAGAGCGTCGACCCGCACAACAAAGGGTCTCGAGTTCGGTTCCTAGTCCAGGGCACGTACCAGGTGCAGGTCTGATCCCTGGCCCGGTCAGCGCCTGCAGGAGGCAACCCATCGATGTGTCTCTCTCACATGGATGTGTCTCTCTCCTCCTCCCTTCCTCCTCCCCGCTCTCTCTGAACAAGCAATGAAAACAACATCCTCAGTGAGGATTAACAAAACGACAAAACAACCCGCAGCACTGCTGTCTAAACCAGGACTGTAACTGTGGACCGCGTCGCTGTCAATCCTGGGCCCTCAGAGCCACCGGCAATGCGGCCGGCACCCCCTTCCTCCCCGCGCCCTCCCCCGGGGCTCCGC